CTGTGCAACATTAATATCCACAGACTCCTGGAAGAACCAATGTTTTTTCAGCTGAGTGGCAAAATGGCAACATCTGAAATCTCAAACAATACAGTGTGGATCAGCTTTGTGCACTGAGTAACTAGAAGATATGGTTTTATTATATCCTTAGTCCTAGGCAGGATGCTGGAGAAGGAGTTGCTTTTATAGTTTGACCAGAGTATGAGAGAAAAAAAAATGACTGCAAGGGCACTGGGTTGGAGAGTGTTGTGTTAAAGACTTAATACTCACTTTGGTGCTACAGGTTCTATCATGTTTCAAAGGACTTGTAAGACTATTGGCCACAACAAGAACTTTCACAACTTGTTTATAGAATAACATTCTGTATTGGAGCAACAGATTACAGATTCTTCTGAATTGCCAGTGATAAATACACTGCCTACAGAGAAAGTGTAAATACCAATAATGTGAATAATACAGCTGTCCAAAAATGTGTTAAACTATGGAATAACTCTATAGAGATTTCTAAGTTTGCTGGGGGAAACACTTGGTATAACTTGGTTTAAGGATCTGAATCTTACCCAGCAGGCATCCCTGCGGAGAGAAGGAGAGGCTCAGCCCACTGACTAGTCCCAGAAGTCAGTTTTGTCCTCCTCATTTGTCTGCAAAGGTATCTTCCCTAAAATTCCTTCTCTCTTATGCTGTTTTTATCTTACTTTCAGGTGAAGTTTGAGTGTTTCTAATCATACCTATCTTTGTTATGATTGGTGCAACAGAAAATTGAAAAGTTGCTAACTCAGGATGATTACTATGCAGTTTATCAGTTCTATAATAAGTTCCCATGCCTATGATCTTATCATAGAGTCTGGCTGGGGAGTTTTCCACCTTGGCCCACCCTTTGTGCTGTATCTCAGAGTCAGCATACCAAGTTCTCCCAGTGTTGTCAACAATCGAAGAGTTGCAGGTTTAGGTTGCATATGGAACTACATGGAGCAGATTTCTAGTATATTCACTGCATTCCACCCTGGAGGTTTCTTCAATACTTTTCTTCTTCTAAGAGGGGGGTATCCCAATAAGTTATTTACAATAATTACTCCACACAATCCACCCTGTGACTACAGTCACTCAAGCTTCTCAATATTTAGAAGGAACTGGGGAAGTCACACGCAGTCTTATTATGAGAATTAGAGCTCAGGGGACTCTGTTTATGGGATAAGATGATTGGCTCATAGTCAGAGTAGTTAGCAGGACAGTGTTGGGCATAATGATGAGGCCATAAGAGGAGGTTGGGGAGTGCACCATCACATGGATCTGTATGGTTGTCACTACCACAGAGCCATCAAAATCATACCATATAAGCTCAATAAACTTCACTCTGCTAGATGATGTTGTTTCTGAGAATATACATGAGGTTGTCTCCTTAACATATGGTGCCATTTCGAAAGTTACAGCACGGCAGGTATCTGAGTAGGAGGAAACAGTGAAGAAAAGAGGCTGAATGCAAGGATATCTGTACAGGCCACGATTCTTTAGGAGTTTTCCACATGCCTGTCAGTGCATATATTGAAACTGGGACTGAGATGTGTTGTGATGTAGTTTGTTACCAAGTGGAGGAGTTAAGAGCTTCTCTCATTCTGTAATCTTTCAGGTAGATGTGGGAAGTCTTTTCTTAAAAGACAAATCTGACTTTGCAAATTGGGTACAGTGCAAGGAATAAAGAGATTTTACCCTAAGCAAACCACACACTTTACCTCTCACTAATGGTTAGGACAGTTTCTGAAGCTGGGTTCCTGCTCCTGACTGGAGGTATAAACCCATAAATTCCTCAGGAGGTCTCTGGCAAGGATGGCACATGGACAAGGCGGCATGGTCCATGAGGACATTTGCATAATTTGCTGGTCTTATATAATATAGCTAAAATGTGATGTGTGTTCTGTTCTTTCTCCCAGATGCTTTCCTAAAGGAAGAGGTTGTTTGGAGAGATTGTCTCTTGTGCCTTCTTTTTTTAAAGTGATGAATATTGTGCTGTATCAGTGGCTATGCAGAAAACATGCTTATACTATCCTTTAAAATAATTTATAGATCAATACAGACTGTTAAAAACAGATCGGAAAGCAATCATGTATAACAGACTGACTTTAAACCAATGGCCACAACGAAAAAGCTTTGTTATTTAAGGTCTTGGAACTTATTTTCCTGACCCTTTATAGAATAGGATCAGTAGGTTGGAGGTGGAAGTCTGTTTCCTATTACTGAACCACTGAGCCAGCTAGTTTCTTGACCTTACTTGGATTTGCACCAGCAGCATAGAAATAAATTGTTCTGAATTCCAATAATGATTCATTAAGCCAGTACTTCATGACTTCAGCTGGATCTATACCAATGCCATACAATCAGATAGCTGTGTCTCATTGCTGATCCGGCTGGTAAAATCTAAATAAAAATAATGAGAGTTAAGAAAATAAATTTACGAAGCCACCATGAAAACAACAACCCCAAACTAAACACAACAAAACCTGAAACCATAGAATGAGTTGGTCTGACAATAAAATTGTAGAAATATTGAACGCCTACTCTAACTATTGACTGTCCTGTTCTGATAACATCAGTGAGTTGATAAAACATCCTTTCTCATGCTGTGATCAAAAGAACCAAATGGCATCTTCCTTTAATCACACTGGTCTGTTTTTTCTTCATCAAGATTCTAAACATAACTAAAGTTTGTCTTGTACATCAAAATTGTTTAACCCCAATGAGTCACTGAAATATGCCACGGCTAGTATTTATTATGATAGATAAGAAAGCTTACTGTGTCACCTAGTAGACATGGAACAAACATGGCTGAAATGGATAGCTTGATGAAAGGGCAATGCTTTATTAATGGACAGATATTGATAATTAACAACTAGCAGACAAAGCAATGTAAAACATTTCCTGAGAGGTTAGCAAATTGAGCTATAATTTATGCTGGTGTGACCAGGGCAAAATGCGACTCCCAGCTGTCTATTGACTTTGATGACAAAAACTTGTTTTTCTCTAGACAGTCAACATGAACTCTGGTACAGACTGCCAGCACATTTCCCAGAATGTCTGCCTGTAGAAAAATGACTTTCTCACACAAACTTGTTTGCCATTCTGATGAAAACTTGACGGCAGAAAACCATTCTCTTATAACCTTCTCTTGAGCTACTATGGATCTGCCTTTATATTGAGTCTAATTTACGAGAACCTTCATATCCCAACATCAAAACCCCCCTATATTGATTTCAGCCTCTTCTTGGCTTAGTATTTTAAAATGTTGTAAGCTTACACTATTTCATCACACTAACACAATCCTCTACTATGTTTCTATACAAAGAAATCCCACACAAATCCCACAGGAAGTGCTAACACGAATGTTGCCAGTGAAATCTTAATTCTTCCCCTCCTTATTGTCCACATGAGCAACACATCAATCAGTTACACGGGGAAACTGAGCTGTCTGAATAAGCACTACTGCCTTTAGTGTTGGGTGTGAAATCCTCTGCAGGAAGCTATGAAGTGTCATGCTTCCTGCTTGTACTTCAGATAATTTCAGATATATTAGAGAAAAAAATCTTTTTGCTTTGTCTACAGCAGAATATTCAACACATAGCGACCAAACCCACGAGGGAACAGAAGTACGAGCACCAGCGATGCAGTATCTTCAGCAACCATGCTGTTTTGGGTTCAGGCTTACACCCACCCACATATGTTGTATTATACCATTGCATAACCAGAGATCTCAGGAGCCTGAATTCTCAGTCTCTGTGGCTGCACACTGCAACTGCTGTGCCAATGAAAATAGTGGTATCATATGCTGATGCACCATCCCGTGGAAGTGCTACTAGCATGGCTTTCCCTGAGACACGGGGTATTTCTTCAGGCCTTCATTTCTCCACTAGAAAGCCACCCAAGAAAATGATATGCTAAAGAGGAAATTTCCAAAAACATTTGTTAATGGCTGTGTAAATTACAAATGCTGTCAGTAATAGCTTGTTAGTACAGAACCAAAAGGAGGGTAAGCCCCAGTCTGCTATTACAAAGGTAGTACTGAAATCACGCCAACAACATACGAAAATATAAAACTCAGCTGGAGTCACAGGTTTGAACTTTGATTGTGGGTAATCGGCTGCACAGCACTATCGTTAACGGTGGGAGACATCTGACCGCGTATCTGCGCAAAGTGAAAGCGTGCCTGCATTTCTGCAAGCACGCTGACAGCAGGCACGACTTTATCCACAGGGCTGTGATGGAAGTTCTGGGAGCAGAGGGGAAGAAGTGAGGGGAGAGGTGCGAGGGGCCGCGGGAGGGCGCCGAGCCGCCTCGCAGTGACCGGGGGCCTACAGAGCTGCGTCGGAACTTTGCTCTGCTGTATCTCGCGTCAGCTAGAGCAAACGGTGATCGCAAACCCTCCTGTCCTTTCTCACTGTCGGAGAGCTCACGAATCGAAGTGCTAAACCTGTGTAATGAGCAGACGAAAGTGACCTCGGGTCACCTAGTAACGGCGACTGAGCCGAGTGACGCGGCGTTATAGCAGACCGGGCGCCGGCCCGGGGCGGTGCAGAGGGCAGAAGAGCCGCTCCCGGCGCGCACAAGTTCGCAGCCCGGCCCGGGGCTACCCGCGCACGGCTGGCGCCAGCCCCGCGTTCGGAGCGCCGAGTGGCGCCGCCTGCCGAGGGGACCCGGAACCGCAGGCCGGGGCCGAAGGGTCAGCCGCGCGCCCGGCACCCCCGCGCCCGGCCCGGCGCCTTCCCCCCGGCCGCGGAGGGCGACGGCGCGGCGCCGGGCCGGGCGCTTTCGGCACTCGATTAGTGCCGCCTGTGCGGCGCGCGGCACGCCATTCTCGCGCTCCGCAGCCGCCGCCTCTCTCGTGCTCGTAACGGCTCCGCGCGGCCGGCGCTCGCCCCGCCCCTTCTCGCCTCGGCCCCGCCCCGCTCGCCCCCGCCCCTCCCCCTTTGCGCTCGCGCCGCTCTCGAGCTCGCGCCCCCCCCCCCCCCCCCGCCCGCTGCTGTCAGTGCGGTGGCTGCGCCGGGCAACATGGCGTCGGAGGGGATGATTCTAACGAACCACGATCACCAGATCCGCGTCGGGGTGCTCACAGGTAACGGCCGCCGACGGGGCCCGCGTCGGGGCTCGGGGGGCTGCCGCGGGTCGGGCCGCGCCGTCGGGCTCCCGGGGGCTCCCCCCGGCCGCCTCCTGCGGCGCCGCCGCCGCCGCCGCGCAGGGGGCCGAGGCCTCGGGCCGGGCCCGGAGCGGGGAGCGGGGGCGGCTCCGGGTTCGCGAGAGCGGGCGGCGTTGGCGCCGCAGCTGCGGGCGGGCGGGCGCTGCAGCCCGGGGTCGGCCCGGGGCACCCCGCCTGGAGGGGAGGAGGCGCGGGGGTGGGCGCCCGTCGCGGGGCCCGGGGCTCTCCCGCTCCGGCGGCCGCGGCCGGGCCGGGAGGGCGAAGACGTTGGGGAGGGCGGCCTGCGGCCGGCGAAGGGAACGGGCGGGCGGGAGCCGGGCCTGGCGGCGGCGGGGGGGCCGGCCCGGCAGCCTGCCCCGGGGGGCCTGGGAGCGCGGCTCGCCCCGCGCCTCCGGATGGCTCCTTCCCGGCGGCGCGGGGCGGCCACGGGTGGGGGAAGAAGGCCGGCGGGGCGCCGCTGCCGGCTCATGGGTGGTCCCCTCGCGACCCAGGCGCTGTGAAGAGCGGTTTCGAGGCGGCGTGCGTGTCGCAGGCTGCGGGGCTCCCCGGCCTCCGCGGGGTTGCGGTTATCCCGGCGCGCCGCGGAGAGCAGGCGGTGGCAGCGCGGCGGGGCCGGGAGCAGCCCCTGGCCGTGCGAGCGGCGGTCGCGGGGAAGGGAGGAGAGAGATGCGAGCGAGCCCTTCGCGCGTCGGGCTCGGAGCTTGGATGGAGAGCCTGGGCCGACAGCGGCGGTGCGAGCACGCGTAGCAGCCTGTAGCAGTTGGGAGGAAGGGGCCGCAGTCCCTGGAGAAGGAGCGGGGAGTTGCTCTGGAAGTTGTGCGGCCGCCGCGTGCCGGAACGGGCCCGCCTGGAGCCCGGCCGCGAGATGGCGAGCAGCGGGCGCTGTCCGCAGCGCGGTGCTGAAGGCGCCCCGACCGGCGGTGCGCGTGGCGGGGGATGCTGGGGGGAGTCCGCAGCTCTTGTGCTGAAAGCGAGGCAGGCGTGCTGCTACCCGACATGATCGAAGTTAAAGCGAGCAGGAGGTGTCTGCCAGCAAAACGCTCTTTGCGTACTTGTACAGCTTCGTGCTGCTTGCCTTGGGTTATTATTCTATGTTGATTGGTGACTTTTAACAATTTTTACCTGTATAAACGTTCCCAGAACGCTCTACCATTTGTACTACAAATCCAGTTTGAACGCTGTTAAACTCTTGTACCTGTGTGCCATAATGTAAAATTCTGTTGAGAAGAGTATGTGATCTGATTTTGTTTTGTCTTGTTTTTAAAGGGAAATTAGAAGACAAAAGAACAGAACATTTTTAGCCCTTTTCCCCCTAATGTCATTGCTTTGAACTGCATGTTAAAAATTTTGCAAATTATTTTCCTATTATTATGGGGACACTTTGGCTTCTAGCATTTTTTTGTAGACTCTTTTTGCTAACCAGTGTATGTTTATAGACATGAAACCAAACTTTATATAAATGTGTAAATGAAGACTTGTTTTCCTCTCTGGAATTTCCTTTCACCAATAAAAGAAAACATTTGTACTTTGGGGGCATGGACCACCATGCTGTTTCCAGTTGTGGAAAGACAGCAAAGTTTGAAGTCCATTTTTGACTTTTTTCTCATAAAAATGAACTAATAATTGCTTCTTGTCTAATGAACAAAAGAGTAAGTGTAACAATAGGTAGATTCAGTACAAACACAATTTTTTTTTTTATTTAATCACTTAGAAGAGTACAGTGATTAGAAATCAGATAATTAGCATGACTTAGTTTTTCTGATTAGGATCATAGCCATATGTTTGGTTAGTTATCGATATATGTGATGTGGATTTATCATCATAAGCACTGGTGTTCCTGTGAGGCATGGAACACTTACTTTAGCAAGTACCATTATTGCACCTCACGCTTGTATTCTGATGGAATTTGAACTCCTTTGAAGTGGTTTGGAGTCTATGTTTGTTTTTTAAATGAGGATATAAAACAAATATTTGAGTCTGTTGCTAGCTTTTCTTGATGTCAAGATTGAGGCACGTGACTCTAGAGTATATTGATAATACAAAGTGGATGTTTGTTTTGTAGCTTGGATTTTGTTGTGTTCAAGAGAATGTATTGTAGTAGGTGTTGCTTGACAGAGTTTTGTGTTTGTGTGTTTATTGCTAGTTTCCTTCTTATCTGTATTCACTTGGGTCTCAAGTGCTAATCATCAGATTGGTAGATTGGAGAATGAGCTAGTGGGTTGGTCTTGTGGTGCCCTAAGCTTTGCTATTTAGTGTTCCAGGTATTTTCCTTTAAAAAGAAACAAACAAAAAACAGCAAAACCAAAAATAAACCCCAAATGAACAAGACAGGTGAAGTAAGAGATGAAAAAAAGGAAAAAAATGTGGTAAAAATTATGATAAAGACTGCAGTATATATAGGCTGTCTGTGCAGTCTCATAGACCAATGCAGCCTTTGTGAAATACAAATGCTGTTATGGCTTTACTCTGGTTGTCCCTTGCAAGCCTTTCATGTCTGGCAGATCTCTCATAGAGTGTTTGTTAATGAGTTACCATTGCTGTCAAGATATTTAACCTGATCAGTAAATAGTCCTGTAATGCTGAAATTGGCTGGAAAAGGAGGGAAAACAATCTTTACAGTGTCTGGACTTGAACACCCTTCAATGATGGTGACGTTGGTAAAAGTTGCATATCCTGTGACCTTTCTTCTTTGGCTTGGCACTGAGCGGACCCTTACCTAACACTGAGCAGAGAGCTCTGAGTGCTGGTATTGTCTCTGCCAGGCTGATGGAAAAGAGACTCTTATCTTTCTGGTTCCTCTTTTGTTCTTTTTTTCTCTCCAACCCCATGTTCTTCTTCTTTACTTTTCTTCTTGTTTTTTGTCCAGTAACAGTGTTTATTAATACATGACAGTGGACTGACCAAAAGAAGGTTACAAGCAAATGCTTTTTTCAGACTATTACTCATTAAAAAACAAAACAAAAGTAAAATATGGAGCTGACTACTTTCAGTGTTTTGTCTCCGCTAGAATAAAGTTGTCACTACACAAACAGCATTTTCTGTCACTGCTCTTCTTTTTGAATTGCTTTTTGCTTGTTTTGGAAAAAAAAGAAAATCTCAGACCTATCTTCTTTTTGGGGATAGTTTTATCATCCTTGGTATGTTGACAAAGTGATGATGTACAGCTTTCTACCTTAATGAGACTTTTTTTCTAAGTAGTCAATGTGTAAGGGGTTTTAGTGAAGTGCAGCACTTATGATTTCTTCTTCAGGTACTTATTCTTTCACTAACTAAAGACTAAAATGATTTGACAGACAGCAGTGTGCCCTTGTGTCCACGAAGGCCAATTGCCATTGCTTCTGGGGGCACATTAAGAAGAGTGTGGCCCGCAGGTCGAGAAGGGTGATCCTTTCCCTCTGCTATGCCCTTGTGAGGCCACATCTGAAGTGCTGTGTACAGTTCTGGGCTCCCCAGTTGAAGAAAAACAGGGAACTTCTAAAGAAAGTGAGAAAAAAAAGAAAAGTGAGGCCACAAAAATGATGAGAGGCCTGGAGCATCTCATTTGTCCTCTTAAGGGAGGGTGAGGCAGAGAGCTCTGGGACTGTTCAGTCTGGAAAAGAGTGAGAGGGGATTGTATCATTGCTTGTAAATATCTAAAGGGAGGGAGTCAAGCCAGGCTTTTTTTGGTGATGCTCAGTAACAGAACAAGGGCAGTGGGCACAAATTGTAGTACAGGAAATTCCATCTGTAAGTGGGAAAGAACACTTTTACTTTGAGAGTGACAGTGCACTGGAACAGGCTGTCCAGAGAGCTGTGGAGTCTCCTTCTCTGGAAATACTCAGAACCTGCCTGGATGCTTTCCTGTCCAGCCTGTTGTAGGGAACCTTCTTTAGCAGGGGGTTGCACTACCTACCCTCCAAAAGTTCCTTCCAAACCCTACGATTCTGTGTCATCTGTGACCGTGGGCCTATACAACAAAGCAGGAAAAGGCTGGTGAATGCAGAAATTTAGGCCTTGGTTTACCTCTTTATACTGTAATGTGAAAGGTTACCGTAGCGTCTTCAAGTGTATGAGGACATGCAGTTCATTGAAGTAGCACAGCAGATACACATGATGTCTGAATTTATTATTTTGGAGCAAATGTGCTTCTGAGAATGTCGGAGTTTTGCTTACCTGGGAACCCCTTCCAAACAAAGAAATTGAGTGCATCTGAAGTTCAGTAGTGTACAGAATAAAACAAACCCAAACAAATAAAACAAACCAACAGTAAGAACAAAAACTCAACAACAAAAATCCAAACAAAAAAACATTAAAAATTGTAAAAATTATCTTTGAGAAAAATGGGTAGCAATATCTTCTAGATTGTCAGTGTCTGTTGAACACTGTTTTAGAGCTATACACTGTTGATTTTTCCAACTAAAAAGTAATTTGCCAGTCTTCAGCATTATGAGGTAAATTGTCATGACTTTAATACTCCACATCATTAGCACGCAAGTTGTGAGATCTTTTTTTAGTGGTGATGCTGTTCACAGTTTGGATGTGCCTTAGAGCTTATGGCAAACTTTCTCCCAGAGGTCTAGGTGGGAGGGTAAGGATTGGTTTGTTAGGATTTACTGTCAGATCTCTTTAACTGTCTAAATGCAAGGATCTTTTTTGCTTTTGTTTTTTGTCTGTAATCTGCCTTCCTGTCAAAACTACATCTTGGTGGGCACTCATCTTCAAAACACAGATTCAAATTGGTACTTTTATGAGGAGCCCCAGTTCTCTTCCCAAAGTTTAACTCTCCAAATGAGCTATAGGAATACAGAAAAGCTCTACTTCCTCCATTAATAGCAGTAGAACGTTTCAAGTTTCCCTCTTTCCTGAGTGTAAGGCTGTCATAATGTTAACTTTATCTGTAGTAACTATTTTATCCATAGTAACTCTTTTGTTTGCAGATG